GTCAGAGAGAATGGTACGCTTTGAGGTGGTGGTTGCTTGAGGAGCCAATGATGTTGAGAATGAGAAGATGTCTTCGTGGGACCTCCATTGCAGTCCTAGAATTTTAGTGGCATCTTCGGACAGACTGTTCCGGATTCGGCGGTGCCTCAATGGCGGTTATTACTTCTTCGTTGGTAGAGTGCCATTTTGCTAGCGCGAATCCGCCCGCCATGCAGAGGTCCCTTAATATTGTGTTGCTGTCTCTACTAGTTGGCTTGGATTGTCTGCACCGCCAAAGATGTCGTCCACGTATCTTCCGTATTTGATAGGGGGTACAGCGAGTGGATAGTTGTCTCCTTCGTCCTATATGAGTTGAAGGAGTGTTCGTACAGCTAGAAATGGGGCCGCTCTGGTCGCATATGTGACAGTGGTTAATTGATAAATGATCTCGTTACCCAGTTCGTCTATCAACAGGATTCGCAGTAGATCCCAGTCGTCTTTGCGGACCAGTATCTGTCAGTACATCTTTGTGATGTCTGTGGAGAATAAATACCTGTGTTTGCGAATCCAAATTAGTACATCTACAATGTCTGGGTTTAAGTTGGCGCCGGTGTGCATTATGTCATTCAATGATCGTCTGGTCGAGGATGGGCTCGATCCGTTGAAGACGACACTTACCTTGGACGTAGAACTGTCTGGTTTTAGTACACCATGGTGAGGCAGATAGTAGCGCTTTTGTTGGACTGGTAGTTTGCCGGTAATCTTCGCATATGATTCATGTTCTCGTATTCTGTCATGAATTGGATATATAGCGTGCGATAATTGTCATCCCTTGTGAACCGTTTTTGTAAGCGCACCAGGCATTGATGGGCCACGTAGTATGAGTCGCCGAGTGTTTCAGGTGATTTTGAGAGGAGGAGTTTAACCATATACCTTCCAGTGCTAACGCGTGCTTGGTTTGCTATGTAGTACTGTTCACACTGCTTTTGATCTGGATTAAGTTGACCGCTTGGTTCCCTTGGTATTTCTTCTATTATCCAAAATTTTAATAGTAGATTTTGCAGGCTATCTTCTAGTTCTTCCGTGGTTATGGTCATTGATGTTGCAATTTGAGTGCAGTTACCGGCTGGTCCAATAACTACCCAGCCGAACATTGACAATTGTGCTATAGGTAAGTTTGGTGAAGACTTGATGATGTTGGGTTTCATTACTTGTCCATACGAGTCGGCTCCCAACACGATGTCTACAGGTCTTGTTTTGACGTAATTTTCGTCGGCTAGTGGCAATCCCTGGATATGAGGCCATGTACATTGTGGGAGGTCTTGGGACGGTAGAAGTATGGATAAGGATTTGAGTATGTGCGCATGTACAATAATTGATTCTTTTGACTGCAATGATTGTATAGTGAGTGTGATGATCCCTAGTGGCTGTATTGGTGAAGTTCTGCCAATTCCGTGTACATGTATTTCAGACATTTTGGGCGTTACATGAAATAGTCGTGCCAATCTTTCCGTGATGATTGTGATTTCGGAACCAGTATCTATGAGCAGCCGGGTTTGTTGTGTTGTTGATTGTATGATCACCTTGGCTACAGCAGTGGCGAGTAATGTTATTGGTTGTTGGTTCTCGCTTTCACTGATGTGCCTCGTGTCTAGACATGTGGTGTGTAGTAACTGGACGTTGGTTGATGTGTTGTCTGGTGCGTCATGTAGCAATGAGTGGTGTGCCTTGTTGCATACACAACATCTTCTCTTGTTTAAGTAAGGCTGTGGCAAATGATTGCTCAGGCAGTTATAGCATAGCCTCTTCTCCTTGATTACGGCCAGTCTCTGAGTGGGACTGAGCTGCTTGAATTTATTGCACTTCCAAATGGGGTGCAGTTCCTTGCAGTGGAAGCATTGTGATTTTACGTCGTCTTTCCTTCTAGTTGAACCTGGTAGTTCGTGCGTGTTAGATGATTGCCACAATCTTACGAACCTTGTGTTGGGCGTACGATGTTGGGCTTGTTTTATTGACGTTTGAATTCCTTGTGTGCTTGCCATTATTACATTTTCTAGTGCTTCCATTCTTGTCATTACGAATTGATCAAACTTCTCGAATAGTGGGTATGAATTTTCTTCCAATGATTGTTCCCAGGCTGTTATTACTTGCTCGTCTAATTGTAATAATGACACATGTAGCAGTAGTGCGTCCCATGCGTTTGTGACATTATGTTGCATCAGTGATCTTCGTAAATTACGTAGTTTGCTCATTAAAGTGGACACTTCCCGGACTCCCTTCACTCTTGTTGATGAGATAGTGATTGCTTGTGTAATAAGCGCTTTCAGAGCTAGTCGGGGTGAGCTGCATTTTTTTCGCAATAACTGCCAGGCTGATTCCAATGACTCGTGCTGTAGAAACATGCCTGATATTAATTCTGCGGGTATTCCTTGCAGAGAGTTCCGCAAACAGTGTAGTTTTTAAGTATTAGTGATTGAAGCAGGTCTCTGAAGGCGGGCCATGCAAGGTAGTTTCCGTCGAACGTAGGGATAGGGATGTCTAGGAGATACGTCACTCCACGAGCCTCTGCTGGCAGTATCCTATCATCTGCACTCGAAGGCCTTGGTGTAGTGGTCGTTGTTGAACCTAATTCTTGAGATAATTGCATGATCAATGTTGTGGCTGTAGTGTGGCAGATGCACTCTTCCATCATGGCGTTCTTTGTGAAGTATTCATTTGATGCGCCTGACAATGGCCAGCTATTGGTAATGGATTTATGTTCTATTGTGAATGCATTGTGTATTTCGTCTTTTTTTTGCTAGTGTTTCTGGTAGGCTTATGGATGCCTTGGCTGCATCAAGTCTATTAGTTAGTGGTCGCATCATCTCGATTCGGACCCACTGTGATTGGGCCGGCAGGATTTGATCGCTGGTTAGCTTTCCCTTGCTGCGTGTTGTAGCACTTACTGACTCCTTAATTTCCTTCTTGTCCTGAGTAGACATGTTGATATGATAGGACAGTAATGTTGCTTGCAGTAGTGAAGAATCTCTGGTACTCAATGATCTGCGTACTGTACTATTATCCTTATGACTGGTAGTATTGGATGTATGCACTGATTTCCACTTATCCAGCTCGAAGGACCAAAATGTCTGGGATCAGACTAAAAGCTTCCCTGAGATGTTGTAGGGAGGCTTGCTGGCAAGTAGAATGGACAATGCAATAATTCAACACTGCCTTTGTATGTGGTGGTTTTCCTTTATTGTATATAATGATATAATATATAATCAGTGGTTTATTGAGGTAGGATTGAATGTATGATACAATGAATAGAAGAGAGTTTCTTCAATTAATATGAGCGATAATAATCTTGTAAGTGTATTCTTGATGTGGCGCGTGATTCTCCTACTCGTAGTTATGACTCGTAGTGGTAGTGGGAGATACGCGCTGATGAGGGGTAACGATGGTGCCGCCTTTTCCGCTGTCGATGAGAGCTGTCACGGCTTGAGTGTGGGGCGCCTGTATGATGTCACTGATGAGGGGTAATGATGATGCTGTGTGCCGTTGTCTAGCGACTTGTACGTTGTGGTGGCTAAGTGGAAGGAGGATATCCGTGTCACGTTACTGCTTGACGTGTGGGAGTAGTCCTCGTACCATAAGCCGTTTATTGGTATTGCTGCTTACTTATTTCTCGGAGCCGTATGTTAGTGATTCGTAAGAACGTGTGTAATAGCGTAGCTTACGTGTGGAGTCGATCTCACTGCATTGATGGCACGTAAGAATATTATAGAGTGAATTATATTTTTAAATGACGAACTGATGTTATTATCGATAAACATAACAATAACAATTTTTAATTTTTATTAATTTAATAGTATAAAGAAGCGACATTTTTTTTTAATATTATTTTGAAATATATCTAGATAGAACTTTTTATAATTTTAAATAAATAATAAATAAATAATAAATAATTAATAATATTAATATTATGCTCATCATCTAATAAATTTTAATAATTAACCCAAAGGATTTTTTATTAATAAATATAAATTTTTAATTTAATTTATTATACAATTAAAAATTAATTAATAGTAAAAGATTTTGAAAATGTATAACAAACTCTTATACAGATATTATTTATTTTTATAAATGATATGCATTAGTATATAATGTAAGTAAAATAATTATTCATTATTTAAATTTTTAGTATATTTTATATAAACAAATTCTTATTTTCTAATTAAGAAGATTTTAATAATATTGTTAAACATGAATAAATGAAAAAAAATATTAACTTACATATTATATATAAGTATTATTTTTGTTGTATTATTATATTTTTACAAAACGATAAAATATTAATAGGCTCTTACACATTTTGAAAACAAACATTACTAGTGAAAATTCTAATTATCAGTGTAGCTTTCAGTTGAAATTAATATTAAAGATTTGATGTAATTTTCTGCATTTCTCTCTCGAATTTTATCGTTGATATGTTATTTGTGAATGGTTAATTTTTTTATTTTAAAAATGATCATATAATAATTGTGTGTTTATTATATGAAAAATATTTATAAATTTATAGGTAGTCAGCCATTATTCCAATTTACGATTTATCCAGAAATTTTATAAAATAATACTGTTATTTTTCAAAATAATTTATTTATACTTAAAACTTGAATTCAATTATTATTCTTTTTTACAAAATACAAGTATTTAATATTTCGTATCACCACTTAAAATTTAGAATGATTTTCAAAGAAGCATAAGCTAATGAGGTACACTGTGCAATTGAAAATTATTTATTTGAATTAAGACTATATATATTAATAGAAAAATTTGTCATATAACTAAGTAAAAGAAGATCACAAGAATACTAGTAAACTAATAATGAATTATTATTATATATAATATTACAATTGCTTTAAAGTTTTAATATGAATGCTTATATAAAATTATTAAAACTGTGAAAATCATTATAAAAACTATTTCTAAATGTAAAAGTGGTATTTTCTATTTCATTTGAGAATTTTTTTATATTTCAGGCTGATTTGTCTTGCAGAAATACAATGCAAAGCGTTGGAGCCATCTACACGCATACAAACTTTGTTACTTTAAAGTACGTAACAGATGCCTGGGGGACCGATACGAATGGATTCCGTCTCGTTATTACAGCCGTTAAAGATCCTAGTAAGTACAAGTAATTCTGCATTAAATTATAATTAGATTAAAAAATATATTTAATGATAGCTAGTATTAATAAAATAATTAGATTTATTTGATAATTAGATCATCTAAATATTAAAAAAAAAAAAGAGAAATATAAAGTTCTAAATTTTTTGAAAATGAATAAAAAGTTTTAGAGATTAAATAAAAAAATTTGTATAGAAGTATATATAGAAATACAGCATACAATATCATTTATAGATTTTTATTTATATTATAATATTTCTCGAAATAAACTCTCCACAAATACATAAATTATATTTGTTTGAGAATCAGAGACTCCTTTTTTTAAGGCAATAAAACATCTGGCAAGTAATATCATGAACATTGTATTTAAGACTTCAAAACTTTCCTGCTCATAATTATTTGTACTAGTGTCATAAAACATCTGGAAAACTCTAGCGGAACGTGCTCATACTCCCAGTGCAGTAGAACCTAATGGGTTTACTGCCGGGAGAACCCCAAAGTAGATTCAGAACGAATATCAGATATGCGTAAAGCATTGAGTACAAATATTTACTGCAACCCAAAACCCATACGTGCAAAAACATGCAATGACCATACGTGCGCACTCGGCCTTTAAGACAATGCTTGCATTGTTCTTGGCTATGCCACATCTGGTCGATCGTATTGGAAAATTGACCATGCCCAAGCGGACCCTGCTTCTAGCCAAGTCCCAGAGATGGATGAGGCAACCAATGGAAAAGGCTCGTCACCTTCCGACACTTTTTTATAATATTATAATTTTTTAATAAATATAAATATAATATTATAATATTTTTAAATATAAATACATTATATAAATAATTCATGCCCTAGAGTATTTAAAATACGTAAAAGTCTTTTGCTTATATTATTAATAAATATTAACAAACATTTGTATGTAAATAGTCTTGATTAATTTGAAATATTTGTTAGTGATTATTGTTATAGATTAATTATTAAAAACGATAGTTTTTTTAAATGTATGAATTTATTTTAGTTTAATTATAGAATTTGAAATGCATTTAAAGTGAAATATTTACAAAAAATTTAAATAATTTATTATAAATTATTATAAATATTTATTTATTATAAAGTTTTATAAATGGTAATTTTACATATTCTAATGAAATATATCTTATTGTCTTTGACCAAGAGTACCTAAATAGTAAATGAAAACGTAATACGAGATACTCACAAGTGTATATGTTTAAAAATAGTGTACCGGGCGAGGAGGGCCAAGTAACTAAGATTAGACGTGAGCTCCTGATGTTGATAGGAGGATTGCAGGCTAGTGGACAAGATAGTACATGTATTCAATAAAGAGCAGTTTTGTTATTTAGTTTGTTTTATTTATGATTGCACTAGTTGAATTATAATTAGTTTTATTTTTATAATTGATTTTTTTTTTACTTTTCTTGAATTGTATGTTTATTGCCACTGAGCTATCACGT